ACACCTGGGTGGCTCGGTTGGTTAAGCGTCCGACTCTTGATCTCAGCTCAGGTCTTGATCTCAGAACCTTGGGCTCAAGCCCCATATCGGGCTCTGTGCTGGGTATGAAGCCCACTTTATTTTTTTTTTTTTTTTTAATTTTTTTTTTTAACATTTATTTATTTTTGGGACAGAGAGAGACAGAGCATGAACGGGGGAGGGGCAGAGAGAGAGAGGGAGACACAGAATCGGAAACAGGCTCCAGGCTCTGAGCCATCAGCCCAGAGCCTGACACGGGGCTCGAACTCACGGACCGCGAGATCGTGACCTGGCTGAAGTCGGACGCTTAACCGACTGCGCCACCCAGGCGCCCCGAAGCCCACTTTAAAATAACATAACATAAAGTCTTAGAAAATAACAATAGTAATAATAATGTATGTGCGCACATATATGCGTACGTATGCGTGTATATACGTGCATACACAGGTGGTCCCTGACTTACGAGGGTTCAGCTTACAGGTTTTGACTTCAGGACGGTGTGAAAGCAACAGGCACCCAGTAAGGACTGGGCTGCAGATGCTGAATTGTGATCTTTTCCCGAGCCGGGGACACGCGGTACGATCCTCCCTCCTGGCTCCGGGCAGAGACGGTGAGCGGTGGTTCCCAGCCAGCCCCATCATCACGAGGGGAAATAACTGATACAACCATTCTGGACCCACACAGACATTCTGATTCTCGCTTTCGGCAGGGCGTTGGGCATATAACACGAGGTACTCAACACCTCACTATAAAATGGGCTCTGCGCGAGGGGACAGGGCCCAACAGTGGGCTACTGTAGGTGTTCTGAGCACGCTTCAGCTGGGCTGGGCTAAGCGATGGTGTTGGGAGGTTGGGGTGTTATATGCGTTCTTGGCTTATGATACTTTTAACTCGTGATGAGTCTGCCGGGATGCGACCCCATCACAAATCGAGGAAGATCTGAATATACGCAGAGAGAGAAAACGACAGAGCGAACACGGCAAAACCGATGAGGCTGGGTAAAGAGTGTAAGAGAATTCTCGTTCTAGTCTCAAAAGAATTGCAAATGATTATTTTTTTACTTAAATGCAACAGCCCCTATTTAAGTGCCTAGCACATAGTGACTGTTTAGCAGAGGCTTTCTTTCATCCTTGCTCTAAACCACCTCTGACCCTTGAATAGATTTTTTTTAACCGATAAATGTTTGGGGTTTTTTTGTTTGCTTGTTTTGCCTGTTGTTGCCAACATTTAAAACTCAAGAGTTCTTACCCTCCTCCCCCTCGGAAAAAAAAAAAAAAAAAACCCGATTCCCATCTTCTCTTGAAAATCTGGAGCAGCCATGTGGCGGGCACTGGAGGGGTGTCCCTCCCCAGCCGGACCCCGGGTCTGGAGCAGTGAGGACCACCAACCGCTGGAAGCAGTCACCGGAAGGGACAGCAGCCAGTGTGGCTCCGCTGTCCCCTCATCAGAGCAGAGCTAGTACTGCCAAGAAGTCTTAGACCGATAAATGCTGTGTCTTAAGACTCACAAGCCCCTGCCCTACTTACCGTCGAGGAACAGCTTTTCCAGTTTCTCGAGTAGCTCCGCACACTGATTCAGCTGCTCCTGGAAGCCCTCGGCCACGTAGCGATCCACGTCGCTGGCCTGTAGCAACTCCTCAAATGCCTTAATCACGGTGTTCATATGTCGACGGTAAATGACACAGATGCCATGGCTGTCCTTAATCTGCTGTCTTTGAAGGGAGAGCTCCCTGGCTTGGGACTGAACTAATGAATCATATCTGATAAAAGGGGAGGGGAGAGAAAACGCTTGTACCATTTCAGAATTGCATTTTTGTGACCTTAACACTAATTGGAAAAATGACAGAGCACAATTTTTTAAAGCCTGCAGCTGTACAAGTATATATACTTCTAGAAAAATTGGAAGTGTGTAAGGTCACTCCTTCGATTTCAAAACAACCCACAAACGCTGGAACGAAGGTTCTCCTGCGCTATTTTCAACCTTATAAAGCCCCCAATTACAGTACAGACTGGCAAGAACTCAGGAGAACATTTAGTTTCCATAAACTCCTCAAAAATATTATTCTGAATTATAGAAACAAGTGCTCCAAGGGTCAGAGGACCCGCCACAAATTCCCATGAAGAAGAAAAAAGAAACTGTTGACACAGGAAAACAAAATCGGGACTCTCTCCTCTCCAAAGGTCAGGGGGTAATCATAATCCTAACTACCATTTACGGAGGGTCTATGATCGGCCGGTCACTGCGTTAGGTGTTTTTTATAAGTTAACTGTTCCTCCCAATCTTTCAACAAACGTATGAACCTCCTGGTCTACAGCGAGGAAACGGACTCTGAGATCGCAAAGTTAAATGGGGAAGGTTTCGGACTCAAACAGTCCGCCTTCAAAGCCCATGCTGCATCGCACGATACGACCTCTCCTGATGCCGGATCTGTCTTCCCCCGTGTGAGCCGACCAGTACTCCGAGGCACGGAGAAAAACCCAAGTTAAGCAAAGCGTGGCTCATACACGGCGTGGCCACAGTAACTCGGCCCCAGCGTGGCTCGGCAAAGACGCTGACCCTTCCGTTCAACGTGTCCCCCTTTTCCTGAAATGAGGGCAGTACGTGGGGCTGCTGCCCCTGCCTCCGGTGGTGAGCGTGCACGTACAGACCATGTGACATCAGCCTTGAAGGTGGGGCAGGCCTTGCGGGTGAGGAAGAACACGGGGGGCGGGGGGTGGGGGGTGTCGGGCAGGACACCGCGGGCGCGCGCACTGGCGACAGCTCTGAGCAACACCAGCCGTCTCCTCGGGCCATCTGCTCGGTCAGGGAGGCCTCTTTGAGGCTCCACTTCCTCATCCATATTTAGGAACACCACCTTTCTGGGCGATGTTGAGGATTAAATAAGAAAAGCGCCTATCCGGGCGTCTGACACTACTGTCTTTCAATAAAATGCAAGCTTCCTCCCAGCTTGCTGTTTGCGAAGGCTCGAAAAACTTCGTTCTGGCTCCTGACAATTTAGAATAATGTGTCTGTCTCAAATTAGTGACGAATGAAGGTCAACTTTGCAACTGATCACTTTTTTGTCACATCTCATAAAGCAAAACTGTACCCATCTATGCCCGTAAAACATGACGTAAGAATTCTTCTCTTTCAACACAGGCTTATTTCTCTAAGATGACCTTAAAGGGTAAAGATATGGGAAATATTTATATCCTTCCTACCCCGGCTAGGACATCAGTTTCAACCCCGCAGTAAAAGCCAATAACGGGGTCCAGGAGGAAACACTGCCATTCAGCAAACGTACCAGGACTCCCCAAGTGGCTGGCATAATACCTTCACCCCGTTCCCAGCCTGAGGAGGGCAAAATCTGTTCTGCCAATTCCGGAAGACACAACACAAGAATTGTACGGCCACCACTCCCTGTGGCCTCGCGTTCACCTCTCCATCGGGCTCACCTGCCCTAAACCCACCATCGAGCCTTGCCCGGCACACAACCCACAACCACAACCCACCGAGCAGCTTCCCCCCCCCCGCTCACGGGCTCCGACCTAGAGGCAACGTGTGCAGGTTGCCACCGTGGAAGAAGCAGAGGTGGGATGTACCTGGAGGGGGAGAAATCTCTGAACCTATTCTGCAGGTTACGGATTTCACTGAAAAGCTCCATGTTCAAGTTCTGCTCCTTCTGCAGCTGACACTCCCGATCCACCAGCTGCCGTCTGAGGCCCTCCAGCAGCCCACCGTCGGTCACCTCTGGAGCCAGCTGATGAAGGATCTTCATGTGTTTCACATACCGAACCTGCTGCGAACTTGAAAAGGTCATTTCTTCTTCGTCGGTACTACCCTTGGGCTTGTTCAAGGCATCCTGGGCCACTTCTTCTGTCCCACACAAAACTGTGATAATGGCCTCACTGCACTGGGAGTGCTTTTGAAGCTGAAATAAGAAATTCCGGTAGCCCTCGAGCTCAGTTTCCAAGTCACAGATTTTCTGTTTTAAGTTTTCTGCATCACCCGAGGTGTCAACGTTCTCTGACTGGTGGGTCCCAATCACTCGGACTTTAGTGGGAAGCTGACTCAAGTAAGTAGCTACTGAGGTCGGGCCCGGAAAATCTTCAGAAGGATTCTCATTGCACGTTGGCAAGACGGCAAGGCCATCGGGCTGGTAAATTTCAGAGTCTGCAAATCAGACACGTGTATATCAGTACCTCCTTTGCTGAAAGCCACCCCCCCTGGCCCTGTGCGGCCACAGCCTAACAAGCATCTCTGACCCTAGTCCTTCCTCTTACCCTCTTCCTCAGAGTAACTACTCTGAAAAGTGAGCTTGGCCGTGATAACCACCAACACCCACCTAAAATCCATCGATGACCCCACTATCCTGAGGATCAAACCCAAACGCCCTCTTACAGCATCTGAGACCCTCCACGATCTGGTTCTGGGCAGGCTTCCCAGGAATATCCCCTCACGCCACCTATGGAGATGCCCTACTAAATTAACCAGAATTCCCTGCACACACCAGGCTACTTTGGGCCCCCATGCTTTTGCACGTGCTGTTCCCTCTGCCTGGAATATGCCTGGTCCCCTACACCTACTCAACAAACTCCTACTCATCCTCCAACATCCAGATCTAATGCTCCTTCTGCAAGCCCATCTTCAAACTGTGCGCAACAGTCCCTCCTTTCTGTGCTTCCACAGCCCCTTACGCGTCTTGCCCGGGACAAACATTCCACGTGCAGGGTGCTGCCAGAGAAACTACATCGGCTTTGCTTATTTATCTACCTAGCAACTGTTTATTTGGATTCCTCTCTCCCTCCTTCCTAGGAGGGGCTGGCCTTTCACCTTCACGTTCCCAGTGCCTGGTACAGTCCTTAGCCCAGACCAGAAGTCAGTGCAGGCCTGAGAGATACCGGGGAGTGCGTGAAGTACCATTAAGAGCAGTAATTCTAAAACCCATCCCTGACGGGAGTCTTCTTTTCATTTCCACGTCTAACAGTTTCCAGGAGGTGCCACGATGTCCCCCGCAGTGAGCCGTTTCACTGATGCACGACCCTGCCGGGAAATACTTCCTGACAGCTAGTTTAAATCCCCAGACGTGCGGCCGAACTTGTCTAAGCGCTGGGGCGGTGCTGAGAAAGAATGCGGAGCTCTGAAACCAAAGAGCAGGGGGCTCACACCCAGCTTTGCCACCTGCTGACTCCGTCGCCTTAGGCAAGTAATCTAACGTCTCAGAACCTCAGTTTCCCCAAAAAGATGCCTAGGGTGCCTGTTATGAGGCTTCAAGCTCAGGCCCGAGTCCAGAGCTCCTGTCCTTAATCACATACCACACCACCCCATGTGCGGGGAAGCCTCAGCTCGATAGAAGGGTTGCTGAATACTTAGGAGGCAGCAGAATACAGGAGAAAAACCCATCTTCAAAATCCAACAGATCTGGTTTCCCACTCTGGCTGTGCCACTTACTAGCTGTGGGACCTTAGGCAAGTTCCTTAACCTCTCTGAGCCTCAGTCGCTTCACGCGCTGCATGGAAAGAACATCGCTTACTGTGAAGGGTTGTGTTTGCTGTGTTCTTAGGATCACACGGCACAACAGCTCTGCAAAAAGCATCTGGCTCGCAGTGGTGAAGGAACCCAGCTAATGCTGATAGTCTTTGCTTCCCTGAAACTGTCTGAAGATGGAAGGGGATGCTGATGGCAGGAGGCAGGAGGCCTGCGAGCCGGGGCTGAGGACCAGGGGAAGCGCTGCCTAAGCAGCCGTGCGGGTTGGACGGCAGGGCCTGGGGGAGCTCTCAGGAGGAAAAGCGCACCAGAATCCTCGGCAGACTGTATATTCCAATTTCTGGGTTCCGCAACTGTTCCTCGTGGCTGTAAGCCCCTTCTTATCTCTCTGTTCACGACGCAAATACCATAAAATAACTCTTTTTATTTTAGAAAGCAGCTGCTCCATGACCTAAAGGAAGCATTCCCCGCACAGCATTTCTACTGCACAAAATGTGTGACAGTCGCCAGTCCCCGCGCTCTCTCACGTGCAGGCATGTCCTTCTGCAATCCAGGGCCTGGCCCGGGGCCTGGGGCAGACAAGGGACTCAGTAAGTAACCGCCAGCTGAATGAGTGTAAGAGACAGAGACAGAGCGAGACATCTCAGCAGGCCTTTTCCCCAGTAGATCACCTTCCAAGTCAAGGAAGTATCTCTGCCATAACAACCTCATGACAGTGGAATCTCATGGCAAGAAGCAATGTTCACTCAGAGGAATAATGATCAGTTCTGATGATTTTCACTAAGTAATCATGAGGCAGAGACAAACGTAAGACCCACACAAACGTCCTGCCGTGGTGCAGACCGCGGCCGGCTCTGACGTTTAGGGGCACGTGCATCTCAGGATGGCGGGGACGGTGTGCCCGCTCGCACAACACTTACCCTCCACTGGAGGCTTTGACCCTACGGCACGACCAGTCTCACACCCACACACTCGGCATTCGTAACTTCGACTCTAGAAGCGCCCCCAATCCACAGCACCTGGTGTTCAGCAGCAGCGAGGAGGCGGTGGCCCAGTGCCAAGGCCGGTATCAGGCACGTCTCGCGGCCCAGCATGGGCTCTGCAGTGTGGCTTTGCCACTCGCGGCCCAGCAGCCCTCGATGAAGGGCCAAAGGCAGATATTTCATCAGAAATCACTGTACTGCGGGTGTGGGACAGGGAGGATCACAAGCTGTAGTATGTGGTGTGAGCCTGAAGGCTCTAGAAAATTCTAGGAGCACATTCAAAAAGGCCTCGGGACACGTAACTATGCCAGGACCTGGCCTACCGCCGAGCGCCAAGCACCTCGCCTGTGATAGCCATTTAGTCTTCGCGACAGTCCAGCGAGGTGTCACCAGTGTCCCCATTTTACAGAAGAGGAACTCGAGGTTTAGTTAGAGAGGTAAGAACCTGCCCCAGGGTCAGGGCGAGTAAGCAGCACAGCCCCTCCTTCAAAGCCTGGCCACCTGCCTCCAACTCTGAACGCCGCCTCCTGATGTGTCTACCCCTCCCACGCCTGGAGTCTCCCGTAGCAGGGGTGCACGAGCGGGGAGGGACAATCCTCAACCCTCAGTGTGAAGGCCAATAACATCTGTGGAATCAGACCAAAACCTGGGAGGCCAACAGGAGTGTCTAAATAACTGAGGGATTCAGGAAGGCCTTCCCTGGAAAATGACATCTAAGCCGAGACCTAAAAGACAGGGGCCTCGGCTAGGCCTCAAGTGAAGGGGGGAAATTCAGGCAGGGGCAACAGCACGTGCAAAGTTCTAGAAGCACATTCAGAAAAAGGAAAGAAGGTCACCAATGATGGGGATTTGGGAGGGAAACGGAAACTGCCAGTTCGACACGAAGCCTTTAGTAACCAACTGGCTGTGAACAAGAACTCAAAAGATGTCTCCAGGACCACTTATTTGTGTTGGAGGAAATACTGCAGCTCTGGAACCTTCTACAATTCAGCTAAGAGTACTTTACTGCCTGGTAGAGTGGCTTTCTCCTCAAAGCCCACAACCTTCAGAAGCATGTGACCAGGTATTCAGTGCACTGACTGGAGGCCTCGGGGAAGCGGACATCGTAACTCAGTACTTCCCCAGAGACGGTGTTCTCATAGCCGCCCCATGACAAATTTAGGATTCCTGAAGAGAATTATTTCTTACGGAGTGAATTAGGTCCAGATGAAAGGTGACTCCTTTTTTTTTAACAAAGGCAGAGGGGGGTGGATGTAAGGGAAAAAGAAAAAATGTAAGCATTTATTCATTCTGGATGAATGGGAACGTGAATATTCTTCTATCACCCTTTGTGATTCTCTGTATGCTTAGAATACTTTAGACTGCCAAGAAGAAACAGATGTGACTTGCCCGGGACCTCACTCATGTCTCTGTACCTTTCCCACCGGCCTGCCTGACAAACCCCACAAACCAGGAGTCAGCTCGGGCTCACCTCTTACCCCCCTCCTGGGCAGCCGGAGGCCGGTGGGGCACACCTAACCTAACCCAGCCAGCACCACACGGAGACCTGCCTGCCTGCTGGGCTGTGAGGTCCCTGAGAGCACGCACCATGCCCGCCAGGACCCAGTCCACGGCCTGGGAGGAGAGCGTCCCAGACAGACTGGTAAGCTCGGACACACAGTCTACCAGACCTCCGCTCGTCTATCCGCTTACCAGCTGGGTGACCTGGATCGATTCTTTCTAAAAACCTCAGCTTCCTCACGTGTTAAGTGGGAATAATGATGATGTCCTAAGAAGCCTGTTGCAGGGCCCAGTGACAATTTTTTCTATACAAGACCCCAAGGAGTGCCTGGCACACGGAAGCTGTTCGACACACACAGAGGCTGAATTCCGACCGGTCTCGTGGCTGGTGTGCTGATAACTGTCCCCTTCCTTGTCTCTCCAGACACAGGCCATGGTTCTAATTCCTTTCTGCTCTCCTGGGCTGTCCTGGTAGGCTGCTCCCACAAGGGGCTGGGCTCCAGGCGTTCGTGAAGAGAAGGAAAGATAAATAAAACCGTGGACTTGAAACTTAGCCAAGCAACTGAGAAGAACACAAAGATACAACGGGGAAAATAAAAACACTGGGGAGGCAAAATGCAATTTATAAGATAAAATTAATCTATCGAGCTGCCATAACAGGACATAAAAAGCATAAATATACTGCAGCTTGTCTGAAATGGTTTAAGTCTAGGCTCTCAAAAAACTATGAGTGAGAAAATGAATTCTATAGACTCATGCCCACTTTTCCCCTGGAAGAGAGAGGCCTCGGGGGTCTCCTGGGAAACCGCGAGAGCAGCACCTGGTTGAGGCGCCCTGGTGTCTCAGCAAGAAACAAAAACACTGGTAAGTGCATACGGCAAGCTCCGGGCAAAGTGCCAGGGCCTCTGCTGGGCTGAGTCACCTTTGCCGTGCAAATCTTTCCTCCCTGAGGCGCCCCCCGCTTCTGCCCCACACTGATGTGTTTAATTCTCTGCCCCCTTCCCACTGGACAGGGAGTTCTCAGAAGCCACTGAGACTGTCTCATTCCTCTGTCTCTCTGTCTCTGTCTCTCTCCTACACCCAGTGCACGAGGCTGGCACACAGCAGGTGCTCAGGGAATATCCACTGAATGCATGAATGATGTCTGGATGGATGGATGGATGGATGGGAGGAAACAAAGTGGGAAAGGAGGGGGGAAGGAAAGAGCAGTATGCCAAAGCCCCAACTATCTTGAAACCTCCACTAAGGTGAACCCGAGAACTTAAACATAAATGGAAAACACCATACGCTACAGATCATCAGAAAATCCATACGCGAGGTATCAGACACGAGGCTTTATGACGCAGTAAAGGGCACAGGCTTCAAAATCAGGCAGGCTGGTGCAAATCTACCGCCGGAAGTCAGTGGCAGTATGACTGCAGCCAAGTCACTTTATCTCTGAAACTGTGGCCTCAACGACAGACAAACGGGGATGATGACTATTCCTGCCTCAAGGACTGTGAAGAAGAAACAATTAATCTTGCATTTAAAAAAAAAATTTTTTTAACGTTTATTTATTTTTGAGACAGAGAGAGACAGAGCATGAATGGGGGAGGGTCAGAGAGAGAGGGAGACACAGAATCCGAAACAGGCTCCAGGCTCTGAGCCGTCAGCACAGAGCCCGACGCGGGGCTCGAACTCACGGACCGTGAGATCGTGACCTGAGCTGAAGCCGGTGCTCAACCAACTGAGCCACCCAGGCGCCCCTAATCTTGCATTTAAAGTGGGCAGTGAGGCCAAATAAACAACAGGCGCTTCTCTCATCACTGACACAGGAAGCCCAAGACCCCCAGTCATGGCCCAGCCCTGAACCACCCTGGCAATCCCCTAACCGGATGCAGTCTCCCACCCCAGAAAGCAAACTCCTCGATGGCAAAATCCCGAATAACCTCAATCTCCTCCCTGAACATGCACCTTGCCCCTCGCTCTAAGGACCTGGATGGCGCCCCGACACTGCCTCTCCCGCAGCGCCCCCAGGACTGGACGTTTCCTTCCCACATACCTCTGTTATCACAGACCTGGAAGGGCCTGGGTGCCTTCACTCTTCGCGGACCCTTCCGGATCATGATCTCTCCCCTAAACACTCCAGCTCTGCGGCTCACGCTCCCAGGCCGTAGTCGTGACTACCCACCTTGCCGCAGTCCCCACCGTCCCGATCCACCGAATCCCTTGAGACTCCCTGACAACGCGGCTCCTGACTGCCCTGCCTGTCCACACCGCCTTACGGTAAAAATCCCTCACAGCCGTCTCTTCTTGCCGTCTCGGTTCCTCTCCTCCACTGGCTCTCTGGAACCTGTGGCAGGCAGGCCCGGCCACGCCAGGGACGCAGCTCCCTTCAAGGTCACCGGTGATGGCTTCCTGTTCCTTAATCCGAGGCCGATCCGCCATTCTTGCCTTACTTATTGACAATATTTGACACAGTGAGCCTGTTCTTCACTCTGCTTCTGGATGGCACCCTTTCGTGGCTCCCTCCCTGCCTCTCTGGCTGCTCCTTCTCCGTCCCGGCTCCACCCGCTACAGTCCAGTCTCAGTTCCAGGGTCTGCTCACCAGGCCTCCAAGCCTCAGAGCTCCAAAGACCAGCAACAGGTTGGCATTTGCTAAGTTCAAAGCCCCAGCCCAGATCCAGCCCCTCGACTCCAGACTCCTGCATCTCCGAGTGCCAACCTGGCATCTCCACGGGGATGGTCAACAGGCATCTCAAGTCAGACCAAAACCAGACACCCAGTGACCGCCTCCGCCTGCCTCTCCTGCGGCCTTCCCCACCATCATTTGATGGCTCACGTTACAAGTGATCCTTTAAAGCACAGGTCGGCCCACTTCTCTCAAAGGGCCAAATACAGAATATTTTAGCCTCTGCGAGCCACACGGCCTCCATCACAACCACTCAACTCTGCTATCGAGCGCAAAAGCAGTCACAGACAGGATGTGGAGGAATGTTCCTGTGTTCCGGTAAAACTTAAAGGCAGGCAGCGAGCACGGAATGGCCCAGAGGCCGCAGTTTGCCAGTCCGGCTATAAAGCTGCAGTCGGGTCATGTGACTCTGCCGCTCCAAACCCTCCAGCAGTTTCCCGTCTTAACTGGGCGAAAGACAAAGCCCTAGAACGACCTCCTAGGGCCTCCCTGACCTCTTTCCCTCTTCCTCTTTCTCACTCCACTCCAGCCACATAACTGGCCTTCTTACTCAACCAACTGCCCAAATTCAAAGCAACGTCAGGGCCTGTGCCCTTGCTCCTTCTGCCAAAAACGCACTTTCCAAGCTGACTGACGATTCCACTCATTTCCTCCCATTTTCCACTCAAATGTCCCCTCATCAGGGAGGCTCATTCCATGTGTGGTAGCAAACTCTACCCCATTCCACGTTACCCATGCCCTTGACCCTGCTTTCTCTCTCTCCCCACAGCACCTGCCATCTCACATACAGCTTGTCCACTTATCGGCTTATTGTCTTCCTCCCCACAACAGGAAGGGAAGCTGTCCACACACTTAGGTCACCTGTTTTGTTCACGATCTCCCCAGGGCCCACAACGGTGCCGGGCACACAGGAGGATGTAACCACTGCTTTTTGAATAGATAAATCAAAGACTGCTTGGTATTGGGTGTTGCTATCATTTGCTTGCAGCAGAAGTTCAAAATCAGGAGTGCACGTGTGCTTTTGTGGACTCACGAACCCTCTGAAAATGAGGTACGACACTTACCTGTGTGCTCACCTACACTGCTCTCTGGTAACGGCTGGCAGCTTTCTTCAGACTCTCGAAGGGGTGGTGGCCCCAAACCACTGTCACTGTTCCAGCCGAGGGGACGCTATCTCACACGCTCCCTCCGAGTCTATGCAGTCTAACCTGGACACATTTTAACCCAGGGGCCCTCCATTTTGGGGGCTCCCACGAGTGCAGAAACAGCAGATTCAAAGTGGGTGGGGAGGCAGGCCACTTCCAGAGGAAGACGTAAGGTCAACAGGGCTGGGAATTAGCCCTCAGGAACCCAAAGTGATGTAGCCTGGACATTCTAGAAAACCCCACCACGAGGACTCTCGCTTACACACGTGACTTACCCATATGCCTGAGGCTTCCACAGACAAAGCCAGAAAAAAAAAAACAAAAAAAAAACCCAGACTGAAATCATCCCACAGCCGGGGTACCCACAGACCACCCCAAGTGAAGGCAGCGGTGACCTCACAAGACCCACGAGCGCTTACAAGTCCCCTTCACGCGGACTCCAGAATAAATGAAAACAATAGATTCATTTCCCTTATTGTGTTCCTTTGATTGTGTGTTTGTCAAGAGTCAAGATTAATCACTGTAATTCATAAAATTTATACTCAAGCTTACCGCAGTTCTACACAACAAGGCTGACATTTCAAGCAGCTCTATCGGGTCGTTTGTCTCGCGCACGGAGAACACATTTCTCCCGGTGCTTACCTTTCAGGAGCGTTTTGTCTGGCGCTGGCCTCCCCTCCGTCATCGCTTCAGCCAGAATTAACTTTTGCCGAAGTTGCCTGTTGCGGACTTTAAGCTCCTTCAGCTCCCCCTGCAGCTCCAGGACCTGGCCCTGCAGCTGGGTCACCAGCTCCTGGGTGGCGGGGAGGCGGTACACATTTCCTAATGACCGGGACGCTTTTATCAGGATGGGCAAGCGGGACTTCTTGGCATCCTGAAGAGACACACGAAAAGGACAATGAATATACGTCCTCTGGTCACGCAGGCAACACGTCCTCAGGCCGACCTCGTACAACAGGATTCAAGCCGGCCGTCCACACTTCTGGTTCCTACAGTGGCATCTAAGTTTATCTCCCGGTCTGCAGAATTCGTGTCTTGGCAGGTTCTTCGTCTGACTGGCCGCCACCAAGCTTTTCCTCGTCGACACCCGCTTGGCCCTGGCCCACCGTCTCCGGACACGGCAGATGCTCAATACACGGCAGTCCTGTCCTCAACACGATCTTCTGAGGAGCACCTTCTTGCTCCTTCTCTATTTCCTCCCCCCGCCCCACCCCTCGGTCTAAGCCAACCTGCCTCCCGCCCCTGCGAGGCCACCAGAACCACCTCCCACCGAAGTTCTCCCTGGCTACCGAGTCACTGACCCCGCGGCTACCGCCCGGGCGGGCTCAGATCTCCCCACCTGCCTGGGGCAGGCACCTTCGTCTCCACTGGCCAGCCCAGCCCTCAGCCCCCGCTCGCGCCACCCGAGCCCCTGCCCCAAAGCCACCCCGCCTCAACACTCTCGGTGAATCACGCTACCATTCCCTCACCGTGCGTCCCAAACCTGCGAGTCCTTATCAGACTGCCCTTTACGCTCATCACCCACGCGCCCCACTCGCCGGGCTCCACGGATCCCTGCCCCCGAGTCGTCTCTGAGGTCTTTCGGCTCTCCTCGCCCCCCACCAGCCCCAAGACGCTGCTGGTGCTCACCTAGCCACGGCAACCACCTCCTGAGCGCCCTCCCCCATCCAGCCCTGGCCTTTCGAGTCCACTCTCCCCACTGCGGCAGGCAAGGCAAACCTACCATTCCTGGCCTCTGCTTAAAACTGTTGTAATGCTTCCCTGCTCCCTTATGACAAACGTCAAAATCCTCACCACAGCCTCCACGCAGAGTCACTGCCCCTCTCCTGCTTCCCTACGCCCACACACTCACCTTCTATCAGTTCCTCAGTGTCTGTGTTCTTTCCAGCCCAGGGCCTTGGCCAACACCGCCTCCTGTGTCTACAACACTCTTTCTTGCCGACCCCCACCCCTCGCGTAATCCCAATACAACATTAGGACTCAGCGCGCAGGTGCCTTCCTCGGGAGAATGGGCCTTGACTTCCAAGACCAGGTCAGGTCTCTCTGTTAAGGACGCTCACCGCCCCCTACACTGGTACCATTATAACTAAATGCCTGTGCAGTTACTCGTCTGTCTTCTGCCCTGGCCTACAAGCTCCAGCGCTCAGAAACTCCACATTTCTTGGTCATGCTCTACCCACAGCCTTCACCACAAGAACATGGTAGGTACTCAACTATTTGTGGAACTAACATACAAAAAATAATTTAAGAGGCCAAATGGGGGTGCCTTTTGAGTGTGGAGAATTTTAAATATATCCAAAAGCTGGGGAAAGGGACCAAATCTAGAATATACGGACAACTCTTACAATTCAGTGACAAAAAACACAAATAACTCAATTAAAAGATGGGCAAAGGATCTGGCAGACATTTCTCAAAAGGAGATGGAGTTATGGCCAAAAACACATGAAAAGATGTTCAATATCATTAATCACCGGGGAAATGTAAATCAAATCACTGTGAAATATTGCCACTCCCAACCCATCAGGACAGCTTATAATCAAAATAATAACAAGTGTTGGCAAGGACGTGGAAACACTGGAACTTATCATGTTTCTGGTGAAAATGTAAACTAGGAGCAGCCGCTTTAGAAAACAGTTTGGTGGCTTCTCAAAAGGTTAAACAGAGGGCCGCCGGAGGGCCCAGCTGGTTAAGCGTCCAACTTCAGCTCAGGTCATGATCTCACAGTTTGTGGGTTCGAGCCCCACGTCGGGCTCTGTGCTGACAGCTCGGAGCCTGGAGCCTGCTTCGGATTCCGTGTCTCCCTCTCTCTCTGCCCCTCCCCTAGGCTCACTCTGTCTCTCTCTCAAAAATAAATAGGTATTTTTTAAAAAATTAAAAAAAAAAAAAAAAAAAAGGTTAAACACAGAGTTACTACCTGACCCAGCAATTTCACTCCTAGGTATTCACCCAGGAGAAATGAAAAGACACGTCCACACAAAAACCTGTAGTACGTGAACGTTCGCAGCGACGTTATTCATAATACCTGAAAAGTGGAAACAGGTCAAATGACCATCAACTGACGAATGCATAAATTAAATGTGCTACATCCATACAAGGGGCTATCGTCTGGCAATAAAAAGAAATGAAGTACTGACAGAGACTACAGCACGGATGCACCTTGAAAACATTACGCTGAGTGGAAGCAGTCGCCAAACATCACACACCGTATGAGTGCATTCATATGAATATCCAGAATAGGCAAACATAGAAAGACAGAAAGCAGATTAGCGGTTGCCGACAGCTAGGGCAGACAGGGGGAAATGGCAAGTGACCACTAATGGGTCAGGGTTTCTTTTCTGGATAATGAACATGTTCTAAAACTTATTACGGTAATGGTTCCACAACTTTCTGTACGTACAAAAAGAAAACAAAACAAACCAGTGCAACTGCATACTTTAAGCGGATAAACTGTATAATATGTGGATTATACCTCAATGAAGCTATTATTCTTTTTAATTTTTTTAAGCGGAAGAGAAGGAACCTGAGAGGAAAACAGGAAATACTTGGGACCCTGGGAATGATGAAATCAGCAAGGTCTCCCAAGAAGGAAAAGGGAGGCAGGAGCCCTGCTTGCACGTTCTAGGAGGTACGATGCTTTCGAGCACGTTCTCCCACAGCCCTCAGGCAAACTGCACTCCCAGAGCTCGCAGGATAACAGAAATCACCAGGCCTATTTTCCAGACCAAGAACCGAGATGTCAAACAACCCGTCCGAGGCCATACGACGAGAAGGTTAGAGATGTGGGCCTCGCAACGGCTCTGCAGCCTCTGCTGCTCAGTTAAGGAAAGTGAGACACTCTCTGTCCTGAAATTCGAGGGAAGAGAACAGGTTCGAGGACAAGAACAGTCTGAGGTGGTGAAGGGGACCAGCTGGGAGGAAGTGCATGCCTCATCAGAGAGGACTGGAAAATAACAGTCAATTGCTTGGTCCTCAGTCTCCACCAATCTTTATTCTTAGATCCAAATCTGTGTGTCATATGGCAGGAGAAAAGATATCTGCAAGTACACAAATGCCAAAGCCAATTTCAGGCTGGAAGACTGCCGTCAGTCAACCTAACGCGGGTTCTAAAATAACACCGCACAAAATGCTACCTTATGGACGCTGAGCAGAGTCCCACCTACCACCTTATTAAAGATGTCATGACGGGACTCCTCACTTGGCGGTAGAAGCGGGCCAGGAAGGCTCACACACCGGGCTCGACCTGCATACACACGGCCACATACGAGGCACTAGCCGGCGCTCGCCACGCACTTCCTCAAGTCGCCACTGCGCCAGCCTCAGGTTCCAGGTCACACCCGTCCCATCCGAGCCACTGAGAAAGGTGAGCGGTCAGGCCTGAAGCAATCCCAGGTACGTCTGGAATGGTGACAAGAGGGTTCCTCCCTTCCTGGGAAAGGTTTGTGTAGAATATCCCTGTCTGCCTCTGAAGCTGGCCTCCGGCCTCCGGCCCTACTCTTCCTCCTAGCAGCCGACTCGCTCTGGACCATTTTCTGAGCCTTTCTGGGCTTGTATTTTTCATGTGTAAAATGTAGGGAATACCTACCTACCTCATCTGCTTCCTGAGAAGATTAAATGTGATGATCTAGCACAAACAATCCTGGCACAAACAGAAGACGCTAAAAAATAAACACAGTTGCCTTCCTTTTGAAGACACGAGCAAGAAGGAGAACTCCAAACTAAAAAATAAATAAGTAAATAAATAGTTTTTAAATATATTCAGGGATATTAATAAGTTCATTCGATTTTGCAATTTTCCTACACAAAGGAGGCTATCCCCCGCATAAACTGGGAGGAAAAAAAAACACCTAGCTTTCCTAATACACAGGTACAAACTAACAGGGCTGGGGGCAGATGAGAGTGTTTCTATCCCAGCCAAATTGCACAAATTTGCATCTGGAGTACCGTTAATATAATGGCAGTGTCTTTTTTTTTTTTTTTTTTTTTTTTGTCTTTACTGATATCTTTAGAAAACCCTTTTCTAGAAATTACAGTTTTGGTGCATAATTTAAAACAATCAAAAGCAATTTTGCTAATGATATATCTAACTCCCTTTGGTATGCACAAAAGCAGTAATTTAGTGGTCAGAAAATAAACTTAATTCTCCATTCTGATGCTATGAAGCAGTGTGTACAGCTGATTTCTCAGATACAAAACACCCATCAGAAACAAGAACACCAACAGCCATCGCTGGAGCTCTATTAGAAACATGACCTACTTCTCCACCAGAACACTCACATCCCCCTGCTGCGGGGACCAACCAACCCCAACCCCTCGGCCCAGGAGGATTCAGTAAAAGGTCCAATCGAACACTGCCAAGAGAGCCTGGCTTTTAATAATCTGGCATCTGTGATGGTATTTGAGGAGAAGCATAGAGACAGCATCTTGACCGAAGCAAAATGCACTCACCCAACAAAACCGGACCCTACCACTTTGGGCCAGCAGGAGCTGGGGGCCAGCCTGGGAAAGGGCATGGCTGTCCCAGCTCCACCCTTTAACTGCTGGCTACCTGCGAGCATTCAAAATCTGGCTTCCTCAGCTCTGACAGGTGTTGTAAGGATACGAGAATGTAGACAAAGCTCACAGAAAAGTACCTCTCCACCAGAAAGTCTGCGTAGGAGAAAACCTAGGTTCTCGGCCCGACTCAAGTCATCACAATTTCGCTGCAACCTACAAAAGTAAGAGTCCACCTGGAGGTGGAAGTCATACAATTTCTGGCACATTCCCCACGATGGAATTCTACAAAGCCATTACCAGGAAAGATGTTCCTGGTACACGGCATGAAAGAAAAAGCTACACAAACAGATACATAAATATGACTCTATAAGGAAACTGCATAAATGTCACGCTATAGAGATAAATAAGACTGGGCTGGGGGGAAGGTTAAGACAAAACACACACCTCAAGGTAGAGGCCAGACTAAGTACAGGTAGAGGGAGATACTGGATTTTATATAAATCAAGTGGGATCAGAGGTGAGTTTTGAAGTCTTACCTCTGTATAAAAGAAGAAATTAATAAATAATATACAAACAAGCTTACTTTGTGGGTCCCACCGGGGAAGGCAAGGGGGGTGACGTGCCTCCCTGACATTGTGCACAAGTTCTCCGGCTGACCCTCCGTGTGGAGCACGGCATCCGGCGGCTTCTCTTCCCAAGCCTCTCTCTTGCCCTCCTGCTGGAATCCGAGCGTGTCACCCTCCACGGTCACTGTCTGCACGGAGGCATCTTTCAGTTCCGGCTTGGATGCTTCACCTGCCATTTCTAGCCGGGCCGTCCGAGGCGACTTCAGTTCATCGTGGGATTTGGACAACGAGTTGGGTCGGGTGAAATGTCCGAGTTCACCTCTCAGCTGTACAACCATTTGCCTGAGTGACGTCTCAGTTTTACCGTCAAGGTGTTCTGCAGAAACTCCCTGCTCTGCCAAGCATATTCGTTCCAGAAGTAGTTCACGCAGCACTTTCAGAAGGTCAGGCCTGTTTTTCCAAAAGGGAAGGAAATAGAAGAACTCAGTTTTCTTGTGCCCTACCCAGTATCCCAAGTTTTCCCAGCTGGCCTAAAGCCTGCTTAAACTAAGCACACTGACCGCCCGACAAGTGCCGGGACCCACACCGAAGATTTTATCCCAGGTCACCTCATGTGACCACACAAGGGGGGTACTACCTTGTCTATTTCATGGACAAGGGGAGGAGAATTGATTTAACACAAGTATATACAGGTGAGGGGCCACGTGGCTCTAAGGATGCAGGCTGGGCCTAGAAAGGAGCAAACAGGGTCATCAAGTGTTGTTGACAAGTGAAAGGTCCGCCCGCCCCCAGCTCCATTCCTACATCCAGGGGCAAATACGGCTGCGGTGGATCCAGCCAACCTCGTGGACCCATCAGTGAGCAGGCCCATCATGGTACACAGTCAGTGCTCAGGAAATAGGTGCTGAATGAAGGGATGCTGTGAACCACTCATAATAGGAAGAGCAGTGGCTTTGAAATCACACGAAAATGGCTTCAAGTTCTAACTCAGCGACTCTTTGGAAGGTCAGGCTCCCCCGCCACAGGACAGCGATGAGGATTCAACGAGAGGGTGTATAGGTAGCAGGTCCTTTCGTGCCCCTGGCCACATGCCCCAGGCTCCCGTGGACCCCAGCTCAGTCCGCGTGGATGCCGTGTGGACGGCACCTGGAGACACAGACAGTCCCGCCTCAAGCACTCCTGGCCTTTCTCTGCTGCACTGGAGCTTTTCCAGGGCTCCCTGATCCCCCGGCAGGGCAGTGGGAAGTGAGAACCAGTTTACATGTGGAGGGGAACCCTCAAGCAGCAGGGGAAGAGAGCTACTGGGGAAACGTCCCCATCTTCCAATGTCTGGAGAGACAACGCTGCGGCCGCCCATGGCACCAACCAGATCACTCAGGAACCCTTACTGGCTTTGCCTCTATTCCTACCTTACTCACTCTGCTCCCTGGAGTCATATCCCCAAGAAGCCACTTGTACCCGAATCCTTACTTCAGGCTCTGTTGTCCCAGGAACTCAAACAAAGCCAGCATGTAAAAGGCTGCAGAGCAGTTCAAGAAGAATCCCTGTGGGTGTTTCTTGTGCTAGGCCCTGGGACAGGCACTGAGGGTGCAAAACTGCCTGCAAGGCCTTAGCCTGGGTTGGAGACAAGGTATGTCAACAAATCATTGCTCCACGGGGTAAAAAAAGCAAACATGGGCCCTGCACAACTTTTAATGGGTTACGGAGCCACGATCCCAGGGTGTCCAGGGCAAAGGGAAATGGGACATTCTAGGCCAGGCAAACAAGGGGAACACAGATGAGACATGCTGGAGGGTAAGGGGGTGAGGCTGAAAGCCAGGAGGGGGGAACTGAGGCGTGACAGCAAAGGCGAGCCACTGCAAGGCTCTGTGGCAGAGTGCCCAGTCACTCGTGTGCTTTGCAGGGGTGATTCTAGCTGCCGTGGAAAGAATGAACGGAGAGACTTCTGTCAAGGGGGAGGAGTGAGTACATTCGGGAAACCCACCCACCCTGCTCAAAACACACTTAAGTGACAGCAAAAAATACCTAACAAAAACATATTATAAGGTGCACTATAGGCCTCAAAGACAAGGTACAATTTATCCAAAGGTCAGAAACTGAGGAGGAGAACCACACATGGTGGAGAAAACCATGGAGATTTCAGGAGCCAGAGGGCCAAGCAGAGGTGACTGCAGCGCCCCACAGGGGGAAGACGAAGCACGGGGGACGGAACTGGCGGTCTTACACGGGCAAACCAAGCACAGTCCAGACAGACAGGCCACAACCCAAAAGATCACAGTTCACACTCAAGAAAATAATATCAATAAAGCAACCTGAAGATTTTAAAATAACTATGTATAGGGGCGCCTGGGTGGCTCAGCCGGTTAACCATCTGACGTCGGCTCAGGTCATGATCTCACAGCTAATGAGTTCAAGCCCCGTGTGGGGCTCTGTGCTGACAGCTCGGAGCCTGGAGCCTGCTTCGGATTCTGTGTCTCCCTCTCTCTCTGCCCCTCCCCGCTCAAGCACTCCCTCTCTCTCAAAAAATGGATAAACATTAAAAAAAATTTTAAATAAGTATGTGTAAGTCATCTAAAACATAAAGGAGAAAAAGCTACTCATTTAAGGTGAAAAAGCGACTCATTTAAGAAAGAAGAAACCAGGAGACTGAGGCAGAAAAAGAAGAAAAAAGGGAACAGAGCGGGCAAGGAAAGGAGAGGCCAGTGGGAGAGCTGTTGTTAACTTCCAGGAAAGGGTTACCAGGAGGAGAGGTCGGGGCAATCGGTAGTGGTAGTGACAGGGGACGGAAGAGGCCCTCATCCGTGTTGCGCCCTCTCTCTTCTCTCTGCAATCCCTCCAGCCTCTACACACGGCTCCCTGGCCGTCCCCCTCGCGGTGTCCCTGCCGCCACTCCGGCATGAGCCCTGGGCTCACCTTCCCCGCTGAGCCCTCTACCGGCAGGGGGAGGCCCTACTGCTGTCTGGATTCCCATCGTCTAGCTCTGGGGCAGAGGCGATTCCATTCAAATCACACAGCCACAGCACGACGAAGCAGGGTAAAAAAATCAAACAGCTTACAAAACAAAATTAAAATGTATGGTGCGTTTTTCACTCCTGATATGGAATCATCTAGACGACACAACCCATCTTAAAATTTAGTAAATCCAGACTTTAAAAATATTTCTGGTACTTTAAGCACGTTAAACTAAATTTTCCTTTCCTCTCCTTCCCTTAATAGAGATTAAAAATAATGACAATCGCTATTCAGCTAGCCAAAGGAGGCCTGTTACTCACCACAAACAACACACAGTGAAGCCCAGGGAAAAGACTTTACAAATGGGTAGTAAGAGGTGGCGAAAGAGGCCATTACAATATACTAAAGTGGGGTTGCTGTTAAATAAAACATTTCAAGTGTTACTTTGCCAGGAATCTGAGCAACGGATTCATTAAGCCATCGCTGTGATCAGGACCTTTCTAATGGTTCAGTCGAGGGTCTCGCCAGGGGCCCAAACATTGTTGATACACCCTTCCTGAGAATCTCTGCCACAGAGAAAAGGTGTAAAGGGAGACGAACGGACGTTTGTGAAGCGCTTAAGTGTGTCAGATCCTTTAAATACACTGACTACATTCATCGTTTTTTAAGTTCATTGACTTGAGAGAGAGCGGGAGCAGGCAAAGGGCAGAGAGAGGGAGGGAGACGGAGAATTCCAAGTGGGCGGCAGGCTCTGAGCTAGCAGCTTGGAGCCCGACGTGGGGCTCGATCCCCAAAACCGCGAGATCACGACCTGAGCCGGCATCGAAACGCTTAACCGACTGAGCCCCCCAGGTGCCCCACACTGACTACATTTAGTCGTCACCGTGAGACGAGGAGGTGAGGCAATGCTAACCCCATGTTACACATGAAGAAACGGGCTCGTAAAGATTCAGCATCCCTTAGCAAAGGGGGCAGAAAAAAGACCAGAAGAACCCGGATCTTTCGGACTCCAAAGAATCACTACCGTGTTTCTAATTTGCTAATTTTTTGATCATCTGCACTCACTGAAATATTTTATGGAGCACCTCCCACCTGCCATGTAAGGCAGCAGGCGCACATGGTAAAAGGAATCGAGGGGCTCACATTTCATTAAGAAGACAGACAGACATTCAGACATACGTCAATAACTAAATAAGACCAGGTAGAGCAATGATAAGTACTATGAACTGAGGGAGGGAAGCGAAGGAGGGAGAAGGTCCTGAGACCGTGTGTAGAAGCAAGGTTTCCCGTTCGTGGTCAGCAACAGAGCTGATGTCTGGCCAAGACCCCACCAGTCACACATACACCTAGGAAAAAGGCCCTCCGGCTAGAGGGAACGGCCACTGCAAAGGCCTTGAGGTGAGAACCAGCCAGGATGCCTGAGGAGCAGAGAGGAGGTCTACGTGGCCGGAGCTCGGTGAGCAAGACGGGGAGGTGATAAGGACAGAGAAGTAGGCGGGAGCCAGGTCAGGAAGCTCTGATCTTACTGTAAGGGCAACGGAAATCCACTGGAGGGTCTCAAGCATGGAACGGAATGATCACTGTGGCACGGGGTGCCTGGATGGCTCAGTCGGTTAAGCGTCCACGTCTTGACTTCAGCTTAGGTCATGCATGATCTGACGCTTGGGGAGTTCGAGCCCTGTATCAGGCTCTACACTGACAGCGTGGAGTCTGCTTGGGATTCTCTCTCTCCCTCTCTCTCTCTGCCCCTCCCCCGCTTGCTTGCTGTCTCTTTCTTAAATTAAATTAAATTAAATTAAATTAAATTAAATTAAATTAAATT